AGCACTCTTGATTCATTTTACTGGACGTCGATTCAGTTTAACTTCACTTATTCACTTCAATTTTCTCTCCGAATCATTTGCTTTTTTGTATCTAATGCGACACAGGAATTTTAGTACCAATCGTTTTCACGATGCCACCGGAAGACGCTGTCAGATGTCTCAGCTAACCAGCCATGAAAGGTTTTATTCTGAATAAGCACACGGATTTCCCCCCCCCCCCCCCTATACCGTGCTGTGTGTTAACAGTCCCACGTAATTCTCTTGTAGATCATGACAGTATTTGCGGTGTTTACGCTTTAGGAACTTTATACTTGTACTGTGTGTGTGTGTTTGATGTTCAGTCTACTTGCAAAATGACGTTGGGTGTGAAACGTGAAGTAGTGCCTATATATTGAACAATGTGTGCACCCTTTAGCGCCAATGCATGTCGGTCGCTCTTCTTGGTTTGGTTCCGTTTGTATTCTTTCTGGTTTATATATTTTTTGCTATGTCTGCTTGTTTGTGCAATGTGTTTGTAAACTTCAAGAGAAATGTATACAGATGACGTCTCTCATCTCGCTGCTAATGTGCAACTATTGAACAAAAATAAACGAAGTAACGTGCACAACTTCAGTGATGGAAACTCATACGATAAATGAAATATTAGGAAAGAGAAAGACGGTGTTATGAATGCGAGGAACATTCGGGTGTTGTAGGCCAAGATGATTAGAACCTATAGAAAGCTCCAATCATCTTATCCGACAACACACCCGCACACACTTGCAATTCCGCTGCGGCACAAAGTAAAACCTTTCGACATTACATAAATATTTATTTATTTATTGTGATAGCAATTATATGAACACTCTCGGCTGGATTTCGCCACCGGCGTCGACGTGGGCGTCGACGTCGATGCCATGCACCATTTATGAATACGTATCTATGTATATGAAAACGCCAGAAAGAAAAAAATCCTAGAAAGAAAACTCCGGTTTGCAGAATCAAACGTGGGACAACCGTGTCGTGAGTGCGAGGCGTTAACTACTGAGCCACCGAGAAATATTTCCTTCAACGCTTAAACGGCAAGCTATTATTATTTATCACTTACCGTTGTTGGCAGGCATCTCGGGGGGTGAACTATCGTGTTTTCAGCATTATCAACACGATGGCGCAGTGAGCGCGCGGCGGCTCTCATCTCTCACGGGTACTTTGGCCCGCGTAGAGAATAAAAGGGTGTACGCTCGATCGTGAGCCCTTATCTTGCAGTGGGGAGAATCGAACGTCTTGGCTATCATTTGAGTTTCGTCAGAACGATTCTGTTGTAGCTACCGGGCCCACAAAGGTCACTGCAATTGGTGCACAGCCTCCGATTGCGAAAAGAGCGCGCTTTTCAGACACAGCAAAGTGGCAACTGAGACGCTTATTCGCATTATTCTGTACGTGTGAAAACGTTTCGTGCGTCCTTTGCGCGGGAGAAACGCGGGGCACGTTTTGATCAGCTTACCATTTTTTGCGTGACCTTCCAATTTGTCGCCATCGCGTTCGTTGCTTCGCCTTTGCGGCCGAACTGTCACTTATTTATTTATTTATTTATTTATTTATTTATTTATTTATTATTTATTTATTTATTTATTTATTTATTTATTTATTTATTTATAAATAAAGGCTACTACGACAGCTATTTTTCAATAACTGTTCCTTGGCTTGAAAATAACAATTAACTTGTTTTTACAGCCGACTAAACTCATTTTACCGAGCACCATTATATCTCGTGACAGTACACTAGGGTATGGATCCTTATCACAGTAACACGAAAATTTAAAATTTATGTTCTTGATCCTCAAGAGAGAGAGTGGGAGATCAAGTCTCTCGCTCGCACACACACACACACACACATGCACACACACACACACACACACACACACACACACACACCACACACACACACACACACACACACACACACACACACAGGAGAACAGTCAACTCACAGTTGTTCTGATTGACCTCGCAGGAAGCCTATAATAGCGCTTGCTCGGCCTTCATTTGTCACGTTAGGTCTGGACGATGGCGTAGTATTCTTTTTTTCTGACAGAGGCTGGTCGTCTATCTTGTTAAAACATGACAAAGAGATTGTTTCTGTGGCAATGGACAGTGCCACAGAACATGCTGAACAGTTTCTTCGCCCCTGCAGTGTTCACACTGGTAGTGTCGGCCATGTCTGTAGGAACGCATACGCTAAGGTAAAAGCGACGCTCAGCCATAATCTACACATAGCGGTTGCGCCACCTCCGCGAAGTCTTGATAGAATTTGAAGGCTTAACGTGGGATCAAAAGAGTGTAATCGTGCATGCATGAGACGTTGCTCATTTGCAATTTGATCTGGTGCGTTGACGGAGCTTCCAGGTCGCGTCTGTCCTGGGAAGAGGTATTAACAGGTAACAGTCCTCTGTATATGGGCTGAACAGGCAGCTTAATGGGCCCGTTCATTACCGATGATTCCACAGTGAGTATAGGTAGTCTTTTAATGTAATGTGGGGCCTTTCTAGGTTAGGTGGTGTAACATTCGTGTAGTCTCAAATACCGACTGTTCGTGTGGACCGTGGTGTAAAGTCGTCAGTGTAGAGACGGCAGTGCCACCTTGAAGCCACAAAAATCGTGCACTGTTTTCTCATTTGGCATTCATAAAAGGCAGCACCGCGCGAAGCTCTGTGAACTCTGTAGCTGTCAAAGTTATGGTTGAGTTGTCCTGAATTTGATAGTTGTGGTGATCCTTGCAATCACGATAGCCACTGTTGGGCTGCTCTATGGACGGAGCCGTCGCTGTAGACGTCAGTGCAGTCTTGATACTTCTCATACAACAGAAGTAAAGCGACCTGCTTAAGGGCTGGTGCTGACAGATCTTGTTTTCTTGGATGCCTCGTATTTTCCGGTTGATGACTCTCTGTTTCGTGCACCGTGGAGGAACCGAATCTCTTGCTGCAGGTGTGAAGCCATTTGGTAGAGCTTCGGCATGTGTAGTTACGATTCGTCAAAAGGAGCGGCGTGGGCAGTTCGCTGCTAGAGACTCTAGATGGTGGTGTGAGACCCGGGCAAGATTCCTATGTGCGTCCTCAGCGCTTATCTTAATATAAGTCTTTGAGCGGTGGTCTTCAGAGATGGCATCCACCTCTGTTGAGGCACTCGCAGGCAGACATTAACAAACTTGCAGAGCCTGGACCTGAACACTTTGTAACATTCTTCGACTTGCCTTGTTTGTGTTAGTGCAAGCAAACTTTTGTGTAGTAAATCGAGAAAATGCTCCCTGTATAGTTGTAACGTGGTACTGGGCGACATTCCCAACATATTTTCAGTGAAAAACTCGGAAGAGGGGACAAATGTATGTCAACTATTTTTTTTTTCCTGTACGAGACGTGAGGATTTCATGAAACTTATCTGTTTAGTATGACGCCCAGAAACTTGTGTGATCGACAATACAGTATACCTTGGCCATTCATTGATACACTTTAGTTCGTGATATGTTTGTGCTTCGATGCCAAAGGAGTACACTTTCCGGTAGAAATTTCCAGACGGCGATCGCGGAGGTAGATACCAGTTTGAGTGGCAGAACTTGGCAGCGCTTGGTAGTTGTGTATGAAGAGCATTCAGCATAAGATTGAATAGCACAGGGCTCAGCACATCACCCTGGGCAACGCCACGACAACTGTAATGTACGGAGTTGTGCGCGTCGTCCGTAGTCACTTAATAGGATCACATGCAGAGATAGCTGAGTATATTCATTTAAACATTTGACCACCCTTCCCGACGTCTTCCAGAGTGGCAATGATAGCTTCGTGAGTAAAGTTGTCACAGGCCCCTTTGCATAAAGAACAAAGAAGCCCAAATATGCTTACTGCCTTTCTTGTGCTATACGTAGGTAATTAGAAGTGTGGCAGCTTGGGCTAGTTGGTATGGCATGACGATAGTTATAGCGCGAGAACAAAACGGCGACACAGAGACAAGAAGGACTATCGTCATGCCATACCAACTAGCCCAAGCTGCCATACTTCTAATTACCTACGTATAGCACAAGTGTCTTTCGTGTCCTTCTTGTCTCTGTGTCGTCGTTTTGTTCTCGCGCTATAACTATCGTAGGTAATTAGGTTGATGACGCTATCAATTGATGATCGACCACATAAAAAGCCGGTCCTTTTATCTGAGAAAGTGTAGTTTAATTCATGCTCTAGTAAAGACGTCCGAGGATTCTCTTCTCCATTACTTGTCCTACGCAACTAAACGATGTGATCAGACGATATGATGAGAGCTCCAGCGGTCATTTACCACGTGTCTGTCTTTTTGCAGTCTTTTTTTTTTGTACATAGCTAACGCTGTTCTCAGCTTCGAGAAGATAAAAGGGCTGACCAATAGCACACTGACACACTTTTCAAGCACGTATTTTTCTTGTGTCCTTTACAGCAGAACTGAATAGTGCCCATAGCAAGAACTTTTATGGACCGCGGGACTAAGTGTTCGGCTAAAAAAAAAGAAAAAGTAAAAGGCCGCCTGCATAACTTCACTCAAGAGCAAAGCAGACCACTTTTAACTCAGCCGTTTTTTATCCCTCCTTGCTGCTATTGCAGTTAGTTTTTTTTTTTCTTTCGCTTGTTTGGCTGACTTTTTCTCTGAGACAGACAAGCTGCGCTTGGCCCCCGAGAGCGAAAAAATCTGCGGTACCTAGGCTGTATATATACTTTAGTAAATATAAATATCTGTCCGCAAACGCCATCAACGTCTGCCGCATGTCTTAACACTCTCGCATCTCCCTTTGCTCTTCTTGGCTGGAAGGAATGTCTTCGTTCTGACGAGACAGCTTGCTGTTTCGCGCGCGTGCTTCCTTCTAGTTATTTGTTCGGCCTCCTGTACTACCTGCGTGGCGCGCTCTAATAATTAGCGCCACTGGACACTTTCTTGTTTCTCCGATTCCCGATTCCTTAAACTATAAGGGGCGCCGCTCATTTCATGTCGGGCCTCTCTGTTCGCAGGGCGCCAACGCCTCACCTGGAGCGTGCCGTCACAGCGGACGAGGGAGAGCAGCGTGCAGTCCGAGAAAAAGTAGGTTAAGCAGGGACTTAGAGACGCGCATTGAGACACTCTTGTAAAGGGTGCGAAAGAAACAACAAAGCCGGAATCTGGACGCGCCGGCCTCCACCGCGCGTGGCCGCGCGGCAGCAGAGCGCGCCCTGGTAGGAGAGCGGCCGCGCACAAAGGCGCAGAAAGCGTCTGGTTTAAATCCAGCGGGCCTATGTTTAGGCCGGGTGGGAGACGGCCCCGCCTGCCTGCTGCGCCGGCCGTGGTGAAGCGAGATTCACAAGAACAAGAAGTAGTAAAAAAACACAGCAAGAGCGTGGGGACTCGCGGAGCGCCTGTAAGCGTACTGTACGCGCATCGCGTATGAAGGTGCCAAAAGGGAGCACAGTGGCGTGGCACAAGCGCCAAGGCAGTGAGCAAGGGCACTACACTGGCGTCGTGACCCCTGGTACACCAACGGGCAGTGCACAATGCCTCAGAGAGGCATGTGTCAAATGTAGCTGAAGCTCCAGGACCCACCCAAGTGGTGGCACAGCCAGCGTTGCCCAGGTGACAGGCACTGTTATCATGCTTGGCCACAATGGTGTTTCGTTCAAAAGAAAATAGAGATGTCATCGCCGCACGCACGTAAGCCAGGATATCGCGTCCGATTTCCAGTATGGTGTATTACAGCTCAACAAGGATTAAGAAAACAGAAGATTACCAGCGGACCGCCCCCACGCCCCCACGCCCTTGTTATGTATATATATATATATATATATATATATATATATATATATATATAGAGAGAGAGAGAGAGAGAGAGAGAGAGAGAGCATTTCTGACATTGTCGTAGCAACTGCACGCACATCGTCGTATATTCTATCTGACGGGGTGTCTCTGACACCTCAAGTGAAATGAGAGGTCAATAACATATATTTCTACAGAAAAGGCTTGCTTTTACATCATGATTTTTTTTTTTTGGAGTATATGTGTTCTCGCCCATTCTGAAGCTAGGCAGGACACTAGCGAAGGGGGCATCCAGGGTCAGGAACACTTATGGACAACTACTTCAAGATCAATATCCCAGGTCTGTGGCAGGTCTCTGAGACAGACTCAGTCTCTATTGTGTACGCAACTCAGATGAAGTACCTTGGCCTGATGTGCTTACAAATAAAAGGAAGCACCGATGCTCAAGGGGCCCACAGTGTTGCTTTCCAGGCTGAAGTGGTTCTGAGAGTAAGCAACCGAGCAGCGTTGAACAGTCTTAGTAGAAAAATTGAAGTTCACTATTCAACAGACTCCCTGAAGGCATCCATGCTACGTGATGAGCACCTGCATCTGTAATAAAGAGCTATCGAAATCACTGATGCAAGTGTTCCACCTGCACCGAGTAAAACTTCCGCTATATTGGCTGGTACCCGAGCATAAATCAAATTTTTTCCCCACGCAAAACCAATTGCGTCTACTGTAGCTGTCTTTGCGTCTGTTTTTGCCACTGTTCTAAATGAGCTTGACGGTAATTGCGTAATAACTACGGTGGCATCACTTCATTATCACCCATTCCTAAAAATTTTAGGCACTGCTACGCTGCGTCATCCAACACAGTATGGGGAAAGAGAGAGAAGTTCGCAGTACTGCGCTAGTCTAGCACTTTTCTCCTTCTTTGTGTGATGAAACTCTGGAAGAAGTAAAAAAAGAAAGTTTTATGAAAATGTGAAATTTTAACCAGCATATGGCTATAATCTGATTTCGGACATTTCTGTATCCATTGCATTTCTGTTTGTACGTGCATCACTGCACCGTAACCAAAAAACTAAATTCCAAACAAAAATGTTTTATTTTCACCCTTCATAAAGCATTGATGGGCACAAACTATCCCTATGCGGAAGAAAAATGTACTTCCGCTATACTAGTGGGGCAGGGATGTACCCGTACGTAAATAAGAGCTCTCACATAGATTTAGAGCTTGACCCCAGAATGCTTATTTTGCCTAATATATCTGTTTCAGTATGTACGCTGTTCAAGAACAACGTGCGATTTACTTTAAGGTGTTTACGAAACGCACCATTTTCATAAATGAAAAAACAAAGCTTCTAGCGGAAAGTAAATCGTTGCAAACAGCTGCCGTTCTCAATGCCTGCACTGAATTAAAACAAAATAAATACTGCAGTTGCTTCCTCCTCTTTCCGCATCAGTAAACGCCACTTTACGGTCTGCAAAGTGAGTGCGTGAAATTAGCTGCAAGCTTAAAGCAAGCGCCTGACACAAGCACTTTGCGCTGCGGGCACGAGGTATCGGCCTGTACTGTAGTGCCCGCTGACGTAAAAGGCTCAAATTTTCACACGCGTTGGCTTCACTTGTTATTCAAGAAGCGTATTTGTGGGAAACGATTGATTTATGATTGATTTCCGGGGTTTAATGTCCCAAAACCACCATATGGTTATGAGAGACACCGTAGTGGAGGGCTCCGGAAATTTCGACCACCTGGGGTTCTTTAACGTGCACCCAAATGTGAGCACACGGGCCTACAACAGTTCCACCTCCATCGAAAATGCACCCGCCCCAGCCGGGATTCGATCCCGCGACCTGCGGGTCAGCAGCCGAGTACCTTAGCCACTAGACCACCGCAGCAGGGCAAGCGTATTTGTGGGAAACGAGCAGATATGAATTGGGGCAAAGCTTGATTTGACATGAGTGATACCTTCAAGATTTGAAGATGTGTCAAGTGCTTCAACGCAAGAGAATAAAAGTTGTACTTTGTAGGTGTCATCCGCAATCGGCATTCGCCTGTTCGTCACAGCCACTGATGCTGGGAATGATCAGCTCCCCTGAAACATTTGACATTTGGTAAACGCCTTTGGCGGATATGTGTTTTATGAATACAGCCTAGATGTCTTATTCGGAAAACATAAATCTAGGTGTTTGTACGGCACCCCACGCCAAAGTGTACGTGTAAGAAAGTGATGAAATTAAAATCTTGATGGCGGCAAAATGCTGCAAGCTTGTCTACTGTACGTTATCAGAGCACATTGAAGAATACCAGAAGGTCAGAATTTCTGGAGCCCTCCACTACAGCGTCTCTCATAATCATATTATCGGCGTTTGGGGACTTAAGTTCGCAGATATATTATTACTATTATTATTATTATTATTATTATTATTATTATTATTATTATTATTATTATTATTATTATTATTATTATTATTATTATTATTATTATTATTATTATTATTATTATATGAGAAAGGTTGCACGTAATTTGAAATATTCCTCATCAAATTTTACGGCCAATGCCAAAAACTGACCACACCTGGTGCGCGGAAAAAGTGACTGCTCTGTCCCATCAAGGCAACTTCTCGACACAAAAAAGTGATGAAATTTCATTTAAGGCGCGTCTTGCCGTGGAAAGCGGTCAGTCATCTCGCTTGCATCAACGATTTGGCTAACATCTCAGTGTGACGGTTGGTGCTTGTTTTTTTTTTTTTTTTTTTGCTTTGTACATGAGAAAACCACAATATCAACCTTTTCTTTTTCTCTAGTACGGCATGAAACGCAGGGACAGCCATTGCGGTGTTTGTTCTTGAAGGCATGCGAAATATTTTTTGTGCCACTTGATAGTGTGCATCATACGCATAGAATAAGTGATCGACTGTCTATTTCAGCAACTTCTTGCTTTTCCTGAACAAAATCTGGTTATACAACCTTAACTTTCGTCACTTCCCCGTCAAGGGTAGTTCCGGTCTGAAGTAACAGAGCGACTGCATTTTCTTAGCGCCAGGTCTGATGAGTTTCAATATCGCGGCCTTCAAGTTCGATGATAAATATATCAGACTGCGTGCATCTTTCGTCATTGCTCGAAAAATTGGCCTGCCGTAGAGTTTGACGGCTTGCAGCTTTGCCACATAAACAAGCGCCCTTAAGTAAATAAATTAAAAATAATTAATCAGTTTGTGTTAATTATTTACTTCAATGTCCCTTTAGCTGAGGAACCGTTTTTCCGCATCACACGATTTTACAACTTGCCTTAGATTCACTGACAATCATCAAGGCGTTACCTATTCATGAGCTTCAAGTTTCGAAAAAAAAAATAATCAAGAAGTGCAATCGATTTCCCGTCACTAAGATGCATCGGTATAATCTACTACTGATACAGTACAGAATGTACTACTACAAATGCGCATCGCCGCAGTGGTCTAGTAGCTAAGGTATTCAGCTGACGGCTGCTGACCCGCAGATCGCGGGATTGAATCCCGGCTGCAGCGTCTGCATGGAGGCGAAAATACTGTAGGCCCGTGTGCTCATATATGGGTGCACGTTAAAAAACCCCAGGTGGTCGAAATTTCCGGAGCCCTCCACTACGGCGTCTCTTATAATCTTATGGTGATTTTCGAACGTTAAACCCCATATATAAATTAATACTATACAAATGCGTATCATAAGTATACGATTATCCTTGCACCTACTGTGTATTCAGACAGCTATAGGCTAAATCACTTGTTAACATTCTCTGCGTTAGCTATACCTTCCGGTCATGCTTCAGGAATGTCAGCCGCTGTGAAAGTACCAGTGTATAAAATCTTCGGAAGCGGCCGAGCAACGGTAAAGCAGGATTTCTTCTGCTGGCAGTAACTCAAGCATGGGTGCGGTCATATTGTAAGGGGAGATTAGCGTCGCTGAAACAAAGCAAAACCATAAAAGGTGCCATGAAATCTCTCTTCTTTTCCGAGGTAGATCACTCAGTCGTGACGTATATTCGCAAGACGCCTGCGTGGTCTCCTTCCAGCGATACCATGAAAAGCACCTGGGAGGCGGCGTACATAATTCATGTCTTCTTGGCCGACTTGCCCTCTCTTAGCAGCTTTGAAAGCACGCAGCCCGCGTGCATGCAACGCGTACGTGCCACTGGAAGAAACACGCGACTCACGAGCACAGGGCATACTGCGGGCAGCGGTGGTGGCAGGCGCTTCGGTCACACGAGGGGGTCCCGTGACACGGGAAACGAAGAAACGCGCGCCCAGGTCACGCACGCCACCGCACAGCC